CCCCCGCCGGTGCCGAGCCCACTGAGCCCGGCCCTGCCTCCCGAGGGGCCCGCAGTTGCGGGCGCCACAGACCACAGCAGCTGCATGAGGGCGTCCCCGCCGTCCCCATCGACATCTGCTTTGCCTAATATCCGCGGCGAGTCGTAGTAGTCTCCGCCGTCCCCGCCGCCCGCCGCCGCCGCCGCGCGCCGCGCCGCCGCCAGCGCGGCGGCCGCCGCGGCCTCCCCTAGCAGCGGCGCGAGCGCCTCGGCGACGCGCGTCGCCGACACCGCGCGCAGCGCCACGAAGGGCACGCCGCGCGCCTCGGCGGCGTTCCTTATGGGGTTCAGGTCCACCTGCTTGCCGGTCCGTTTGATTTTGGCGGCCACGATTATGTCGGCTTCCTCGGCTGTGTCGACGATTACGACCCTGCCCTCGAGGCCGGCCTGGTCCAAGGCTTTAAGGAGCCTCAGATCATCAACAGCATACCTGAAGAGTGGGTTGCGATTTATTTTGATTGAGGAGATTTGGGGGGAATGGTGGGGGTGATGGTCACAGAGCAATGCGTGATGCGTGTGAGCAGGCAGCGAATGAGGGGAGTGCATCATTGCAAATGGGGGGCAGGTGCTAGCTGCAAGGCGAGGAGCGGGCTGGAAGGCGGCTGCGGCGTGCTAGCAGACCTGTAGAGGCGGATCGGCCCTCGCCGCCCCGGCGCCGCGGCGCCGCCGCCCGCTCGGCGAAGCCTACGCGCGACATCGATAGACTCCTGTTTGGTCAGGCGCGTCTTGTCCTGTGCCGCGGGCACGGGCCTGTGGGCAACGCCGCCGCCGCCGCCGCCGCTGCTGCGCCGCGCCGCGGCCGCCTCGATCCCGCGGCCGGATGGGCCGGCGCCCTGCTGCGAGCGCCGCCGCTCGGCGGCGCCGTCAGCCTCATCCTCAACGTCGCTGCTGGTGTGCTCACTGGCAAAGAATTTGGCGCGCCTCTCGTCGACCTTTGACAAGCCGCGTGCCCGCGGTGGAGATGGCGGCGCGCCCTCCTGCACGTGCCGCTCCCCAGCGTCCGTCACGGGGCCGGCACCGACGGCGCCCACTGCCGCTGCTGCTGCTGCTGGTGGTGGTGCTACTGGTGCTGTGCCCTCTGTGCTTCCCCGCCGAGAGGGCGAGCGGCTGGCCGAAGCAGCGACGCAATGCAAGCCTGTGTGAAGGTGAGGGTGCGTCACTCACTCGCTGCACGCGCGAGCAGCGCGCGAGCAGCAACCAGCAGCGCGACAGTGAGCGCCAGCCGTGCAGGTGGCAGGAAGGCAGACACTGCAAATGCATTGCTCACCCCTGGAGGCACCACTGACTCGTATGATACGAGGTTCTATCATGCAATTGTGATAGCGCGCCCCCACGCGCTGCATGCTCCCGGCAAGGAACGAAAGCAGATCACAAACTTATTTGATCCGTGCAATGCGACACCCAGGACATCGCAGCCTTAAAACAAGTTTGATTGCATATTGATACCATTCGCAAGATCAGTCCCAAGCTTGACGGTGCCACTGGAAGGCGGCGGGCCAGCACGCGCAGCTCTGGAAGTTTCGCGTGGGTTGCGGCTGGCAGGACGGCAGAGATGAAGGGAGCGGCACAGTGCTCCTACCAGGGGCATCTCTGCTCAGATTCAGAAACTTGTGGCCATCATGTCGAGGTAGTGGGTGCTGCTGTGCGCTGACTGCAGCAGCCACCCCAGCAGCGTGCCGGGCACCTGTCAGCTGCAGATCTGTTGGGCACCAATTGCTGAAGGATAGCATGCTGAGCCGCGGCTGGCAAGTAACGCCGCAACACTGCGCCGCCCCGCTGACGCACCCCACCATGCTCATGGTTTCTGGGTCGTCCACACACGCACACGTGATTGTCACCCGCATGTGCAACCACATGTGGACCCCTGCCAGAGACTGTGTTTACTGCACCAGCAGGCGTGGATGGGCCACAAAGGGTGGTCCACCGCGTCTACGGCTGGGAATCCAGTCACACTAACTGCACAATGACAGCCGCCTAAGATAAACGAAGAAGCCGACCCCTGCACCTGCCTAGGAAAAAATAGCCTCACACCAATAGGGTACCCGCAACTACACTACAGTAGAAAAAACTCACGACAGCCCACATCACCCGCTGGCGGTCAGCTCAAACCACTGCCGCATCAGGTCGGCCAGCGTCCGGGGCAGCGCCGCGATGTCCCGCAGCACGATGTAGAAGGGGAACGGGAACGAGTCGAGGTAGCGCTCGAACACGGGCGCCCCGTTGACAAACTTGACGCTCTGCATTTCCAGCAGCGACGACCCCGCGCCCGCGCCCATTGCCGCGCCGCCGCCGCCGCCCGCGACGCCGTCCCCGGCGCCCGCGCCGGCGCCCGCGCCGCGCACCGAGTCAAGCGCGATGAACGCGACGCACACGCCGCGCTTCTCCAGCAGCCGCCGCACCGCCGCCTTGAGGCCGCCCTTCTCGTGGAACCGGCCGTCCGCCAGCACAAGCACCAGCTGCCTGAGGTCGCTGCCCGCGCCGCCGCCGCCGCCCGATGACGTCACCGCCCGGTGCCTTGCCGCGTCGAGCATATGCTCCAGCGCCTCCACCAGCTGCACCATCGGCCGGTCAACGATTGTGTTGTCCTGGTCAAACCGCAGCGCCGACATCAGCGCGGGCCCCGCCGCATCGCCAAACGGCGCGCCGAGCGGCTGCAGCGGGCGCGCGCCGGCGGCGCCGCCGAAGGAGAGGGCGCCGATTTCGCCGACCTCGAGGCGGGACATGGCCTTGCACAGGAGGGTCAGAGCCTCAAGGGCGAACGCGCCGCAGCCGTTCTCGGCCATGGAGCGGCTGTCGTCGATGGCGAGGACGACCTGCGGCGGACGGCGGTTGTGGCGGTTGCGGCGGTTGTTAGCAGGGGCGCGGGCGGGCTGCGGTGCGCGTCGTTCACAGCGGCGGGCCGGGCGGGAAGGCGACCGGGGCTGCGCCGGCGCTGCAAATGAGACAGAATTGGCGTCACGGCGGCAGCCAGCATATCGTGACAGCCAAACCAGGGTCCGCCGCGGCCCCTGATGATGCAGGAAGGCCCATCAGCAGGCACTGGTTTGTGTGCAGATGTGCGCATGCGCCACGCGCCGGCGCGCCTGCCGCGCGTGCGGGGGGTCGGGAGGAGGGTCGGGGGGCCCGCGGGGCCGCACCTGGTACCGGCGCTTGTCGGGGCGCGTGCGGCGCAGCCAGATCTTGTCGCGGCGGAAGTGTGAGGCGATGTAACCGATGACGCGTTTCATGTTGAGCCGCTTGCCGGTTCGGTAGTCACCCGCAAGCCTGATGGGGGTGGGTGTGGGGTTTTGATGTGGTGTGGTTTTGGGGGGTGTGGGTGGTGGGCAGAAGCTGAGGTTTGCGGGATGCACAAACGGCGCACGCGTTGGCTGCTGGGGATCTTGCTGGGTGAGAGCGGACAGCGTCAAACACCAGTCTGCAGCAGCAATTGGCCCCCCGCACACCCTCCCTCTCCCGCCTACCCC